ACGACTTCAGATTCGGGAGGATGTGCCTCAGGACGCTCTTCTTTGTCGAGATCGGCAGCTTTAGAGTCGAGCATCATTGCTTCAACACTCAAGTCAACAGAGTGCTCTGTCCAGTAACTCTTTTGGATTTCACGTTCTTCCCCTGCAAATATGAAAATGAATATAAATCAATTCAGTTTGAGACAAATGGATAACAACGCAAACGAATCATCAAAACAACTTGTGATAAGTCAGAGGACAAATTAATCGGAAAACCATAGCAATCTTGGCCTTCAAAGCTTAAATGTAACCTCATCATCATCATCATCTTCACCATTACTGAAAATCTAGATTTGATATTAGCATTATATAAAACCAAGTCCAAATATATCTTGAGCTTCTCCAGTTCCACATAATTACAAATTTTCAGAATGGTTAATTGAACATAGAATCCCAAGGACAAGCATTGTTTCCTCAATACTACAGGAACCCATTTCAAATCCATATGAAACTGAATATGACAGTTCCAAGCATCAAAACATCTCCAGCTAAATGAGGTTCGTTAGGGTAAGCAATTTCTTTACGATTCAAACCAGAAGCGACGTAGAAGAAGTCGAAAAACTCACCGTATGCAGCCATGTCAGTGAGAATTCAATAGGGAAAAAAAAAGAGAGATGATTTCTACTAGAGAAAGATAAAATGCGACGCGAGCAATGGAAGAGAAGCTAAAAAGCTATGGCTATGAGCCTTCAATCGCAAGTCTGGATCTCGAAAAGCTCCTTGATCTGCGGTTATGGAGTTTCCCTTTCTGCTTCATCAACTATCGCAGATCCGGTTACCTAAAAAAAACTATCGCAGATCCAAAAATCCCTGGCTTCCTCTCTCTCCCTCTGGAGCGAGTTTTCTTCGCCCGAGTTATTTATTATGAAGGATGAAAGGTCGATACGGTTTAGGCGCGTGAACAGGCGTGGCATCTAATTTCGGTTTTCCGTTTCCCGAATCAAATCCGGTATAGTTTTCCTCTCGACCGGTCCAAGCATTTTGTCGGTATTGACCGGTCCAAAACATTTTATGCCCCGTTCAGATTATTATCTTTTTACAATACAAATGTAAAAACAATTACCATTTTATTTCTCTTTTGCAAAAGCTTTGAAGTTACTATTGTATTTTTTTCATTGAAATAAAATTTAAACTGATATTACCGTCACATCATAGTTTACGTGTTTTTCTCCTTTTATGATGTATTTAGATACTGTCGAATACGAAAAATGAAAAACAGACAATTTGATAGATGCTAATTCGGGTTTAAACTAACAAAGAGACAAATAACAATATTAACCATAATAAAAAAAATATAACTCCACTTAATTAATCAATTCAAAACAAAATAGATGATAATTAATAACTAGGAATTAAATATAAAAAATTACAGTCTGGATCTAAATTATGGTAATTAGTTTTACATGTTATAGATACCTAACGTTTTGGTACTAGAAAATAATGAATTCGCAAAAATCCAAACCGGATTCCAAATTTGAAGAAATGGTGGGACCGAAATTGTAAAGACGTCATAAATCATAATACTGAGGGACCGTCAGGAGAATCTATTTTGGTCTTATTTTCATACACGTGGCATCATAAAGGCCGTTGGATTTAGTTGTTCACAAACCTCTCCCAAATGACCACAAACGAATTATTGCAGTTTGTAGTACCGTTGGACCATGCGAATTATTACGATGCCCTTTACGATTTTTGAAAAAACAAATCTTTTGGATAAATTTAATTTACACTATATTTCCAACTCGATTACACATACATTTTAAATTCTCTATTTCATCTCAAAAAAAAATTATTAATGTTTTAAAACGAAAAACCACCAAAAATTTAATATTATGATGTATAATTAATGTGTGCTTAGATTCTCATTCAATTATAAAGGACACTGAGAGTAAATTTTAATATAATAATACAAATGGTTTAGTAAAAAGAATTAAGCAAGCTATAATTAGATAGATAGACTTAATTAGATCATTTGTTGCCAAACATCTGTCATCCAATATGACGGTCCAACAATCAAACTAACAGTTTAGATTATCGCATCGGAAATTTCATTAAAAAGATTTTATATAATTCTATGAGATAAAAAAAATATATTTTATGTTGAGATATAACTTAAGAATTCCCAATTTTCAGATAAAAATCGAATTCAATAATTTCAATAACTTTTACTACAACATTATTATTAGTTATATTATCTATGATAAATATACCAATTTCAATCAAAGTTTTTCTTGTAAAGGATTGACATTTTAATTATATTAAATTATAGAAATCATATTATTTTACGGTATAATTAACATAAATAATTTTTACTATTTTGAGTTGAGAGAAAGGATATCTATTTCAAAAGATATAGGTTATAAACGGTGTTAGTTTTTTATTTTTGGATTTAACTTTTAGTTTTTGGTTTTTAATTTTTGTAACATTTATAAATTAAAAAATAGAATTGCTCGTTTTAAATTAATTTCTTTATTAAAATAATTTCCCAAATTTTTTAAAAATAAATCTAGAAAATCTTAAATATCAATTTTTTAAATTTTTTTCAATTTTGGAAACTTCAAAAACTCCTTTCATTCGACTCATATACATGAATATATTTATATATAAAATAAAAAATATAAAAATGAATATATATATATATATATAGACTTCTTACGTGTACGTACGTGAGAAATTAAATTCACGTGGTAGTTAAAGGTGAAAAGCCTACTGGGGACAGCCACGTGGTGAGAAAGAGATAAGTCTTTCGTCTGTCACGACACAGAATGGTAACAAAGCCATATGCACTGAAAAGACATAATTGACCTCTCAAATGATTATGTGGACGTAACAAGTCTTAAATCACTCTTCAAAAAATAAATTAAAAATAATAGCGTATATATAGATTATTATTTTTTATACGCCAAGCCCCGTATGTTATTTCTTAAATATTTAAATGAATAGGAGACAACGAGTAACAATTTTATAGAAACTAAAAAAAATAAAATGTAAACAAATCTTAACAACATTAAACAAAAAATTAACCAAACTAGACGTAATGGAATTAAACTAAATCGATGTAACTGATCATATATTTTAATAGATAAAATTATGATTAAATATTTAAAATTGTAAGTTGTTTGGTTATTTTGATCATTCTTCTAAGTTTTTAATTGACAACAGCTCAAATGGATAAACGATAGTTAGATGAATAATTATATATGATCTGCTGGATGTAAGTGTTAATCACTAGTAATCATCGTTTCTTCCTCACTCATTCAAAGCACCGATATGTTCTTTTCTTCCTCTTAGACCTTTTTTTCACTATTTTCTGTTAGAATTTGTCAATATATTTCCCCCTAATAAGAAAAATAATTGGATTTCAAAAAATGATAAATGTTTTGCGGAAATTTTTATGAATATTAAAATGAAAAAAAAAAAAGAAGAGGAGAAAGAATACCATTGTGTTTGGAGAGAGAAGAGGAAATATCGCCATTGAGAGCCATTATGGAGAAGATCTCTCTGTTGTGTGGTGCTTGTGATTCTCTATGTTCTTTTGGGATCTTTCCACTCGATTATATAGAGGATTTATCAGGTTTTTTATTTTCCTTTTTATTTATTTTTGTATATTTTTTTGTTAAAGGTTTTGTATATTGCAATTCGATTCTATTACATTTCTTAAAAGATTATGTTTCTATTTAACAACTACACATTCGAGAGAGAGAAAATTGATTGTGTAACATCATACCATTTCTTAAACAAAAAATGATATGCCAATATTTCTAATTAACTATTTTTTACTATTTTTTTAATAATTTTTACTATTTTCCTACAATATTTAAATAGATAATTGAAGCAACATAACATCGCACCATTTTTAGTAACTAGTATATGTTTACTATAATATTTTTCAGAATGTTGGGAATTTGAGGTAAAATTCAAAAAGTTTCTAACGCATAAAATTGAGTAAAATTTTAAAAATATATAATAAAAAGTTCAAAATTGGAGTAATTAAAAAGAGAGCTAAGTGGTAAAAAATTAAAAACGGGCATTGAGTCTGGTGGTAACTTTGGCTACGTAGATAAAGTTAAAAATTGTATGTAAAAGTTATAAGTAATTCAAATGTTGTGAATGAATTATTCATTGAACATTAACGTTGTCGTTATAAACATGAGTCAAGATTTGAATTTCATGTATTGGTTCGTTCTTAAAAGATCCCAGAGTATTTGATATGAAAAATAATGTATCTTCACTGCATCAAATATTGTTTTTAATCGAATGATCATAACGACATTGACCAGACATTTAAGAATTATATGGAGATAATAGACAGTCATGACGGGATTTGTCATCTCCTTAACATGAGAGATATTGTTGGATCCTTCGTGAAAATTGGACTGTGAAAATGTATGGTTGTACTATAGATGAATCATTCATCTATCTTATCAATCGATTTATCATACAAAAAATGAATTTGAATGGTAGTAGGTACTATGGCATTATTCAATATATGATATCGCGAGATAAAAGATTAGAACTCAAGATCATCTCTAACTTAATTTAATATAATAGTTATGACGTCTTGTTAAAAAGCTAACCATGACTTGTAATTCTTTCTGGGACTATTGTCACTGGGAATGGTTAGATCGATTTAACACCATAATTGCAAATCGTCAACTTGATCGATTTAAAAAGACAAAAAAACCAAAATTACAAAAAACGAAAACACTGTCGATCGAATCCTTTAGCAATATTAGAAATATTTTAAAACAGATATTAGTATTGTTGGAATATCGTTAAATGGATTCGATGATTCAGCTATGCAATCTTACGTATAATATAAAAGAAAAACATATATTGTTTTTTAAAAAGGAATCTGATGAAATACTGTGGTTGAGCTTTGAGAAGTAGCGAACAGCCACTGATCCTAAGATGTTACGAATGGCCAAACTAAAAAAACAAAAAAAGCTCCAAATGAATCTTTTATAACCAATGGCTCTCCGTTTCCTTATAATGATGTTTCGAAAATGAAATCTCATTTCCATTATTTTATTTCCGATAACCAAAATTACCAAAATAATAATAATAATAATAGTAATAGTAATAGTAATACTAATAGTAATATATAGTAATAATGTGAGGTCGATGATTCCATTAAATATCTATATATTTAAAAGCTTCATCTTAATTGGATGGATTATATAAATTTGAAGAAAATCTAAAAAATAAATATATAAAAAATAAAATAAAAAATTATAATAGCTTTTAGAATAGTTATAATACTTACCACTACATGAATATAATGAAAAATCTACAGCATTCAAAATGGGGAAACCTAAGAATTATACAAAGTTAATATTATATAAAACAATTAAAACATGTTAGAAAAATTTATAATTTTTAAAAAATTACAAAATTATGAATAAATATCAAATTTTCATCTTTTTTGGGCATCTAGATGATTTTTTCAAAACATATTTTTTTTTTATCAATGTCTAAAAAATATTTTCATAGTTTATGATTTATAATCTCTACATAAATTTTTAATCCATAGTGTTTTCTTGTAGTCAAATAAATAAATAAATAAATAAATATATATATTGCGAAGATAATGAGAGCAACTTTTTAGAAAATAAAAATAAATAGAAATTGTTTATCAACCACTAGTGGAATCTGAGTGTGTATGGACATGGAGTATCTATGCTGGCCCCACAACTTGGATCCATTTTTGTCTTCTAGGGTGCTGGTGTAAACGAGCAATTATTCAAAATATCCTCCTTTTGCTAAAACTATTTTTCCACATACACTTCTCCAGTTGTGACTTTGTGATCAGAATTCATGTATGGTCACATGAT